TTATATAATAAAAATCTTCCTTAGTTCCCCCTTTAATTCCTGTGAGCCCAAGCAATGCTGCAATTCCCTTGAAGCCTTCATCCTTGTGATATATTCAAATAAAGCATTCTTATTCTGTTTGAGACATGCAGCTACTCGGGACTGTAACAAGCTATATTGACTTCTTAATTTTCCTCTTGGTTGTTCACTGCCAAAAGGCAGCACTGTTATCATTCACTGGTGTATTAGAATATATTTCCTAACAACAAAAAAAAATAGAAGGACTACAGTGGTAAAGCAGCAGCATCTGGAAAAATCAAACAATGTGAATTAATACATTCTTTGTGGGCTGAAGGAAGCAATGGAGTCAAGGAAGGCCTTTGGATGTTATGTTTTACAATATCTCTGGAGGCCCAAGCCCCACTGTAAGCTGTTTTCTTCCTGCCTTTGGACAAGCTGAAATTAACTGGTAATAACACACAATTAAAAGCGCATGTGTGTGTCTGTGAAGGCGTGTGTGACTTTGCTCTAATTTCACTCCTTCTGTGCATTTTAACTTTCAAACTTTCAAATGGTGGTGAAGAGGAGACAGACAGGTATACATAGCAGCCACATCAAAATCTTGGTGGGGCAGGGGGAACATTTGACACCTCCTTGTTTCAATGCCCCCTGTCTGTTTTTAATTTCACTAAATCGCTCCCGTCTGGGGATTGTATATTTTCAGTGGCCTCTCCCAGCAATGCAGAGGTAGAGTGTTAGTGTGCCAAACCCCAGCTATTCTCAGGCGCGGGGCTGCAGATTTGCAGGAGGCAAGAGGGGAGTCTGCTCATGGGACCAGCCATTCACCCAACTTACCTCAGGTCTTTAAGCGATGCCAAGAAATCTCACTTGCCCTTTTCCCTTCACAGTCATCTTACGAGGGAAGAGGTGGACAACCTGGGTAACAAATAGGCTAATAATCTTCCCACATTGCAGCTTTGAAAGTATAATCAAGGTCTGTGCATCTGAAAGATCCCCTGTTAGCAAGGGGATATGGTACTGCAGTTGCTGCTCAGGACAGCAAGGATTATGCTGGCTTGGGTAGGGGATTTTCTTGATTTTAAGAGGTAAGCAGGATCTGGCCTTGAGCACCTCCAGGAAAAGGAATGGTTTGGAAGGGCAATTCGAGGAGGATTTCACTGGACAGCTGTAGGCATGGTGGAGCCTGGACTCGCTGTCCATTGCCATGGAGGCAAGCGAAGGTTTTGCTTCTGTTTTTTTTGAGACAAAAGTTCTGACTCAACACAGAAAGCTTGTGCAATCTTGGAAGGAGCTGTTTCATAGCAAGGAAAGTGAGCAACAAGACAACATTAAACAAGGAAAAAAAGAAGAGCTCCTCAGTCACCTGCTCCGAGGCTGAGCATCATTATCATGGGGCATAACCCTACATCCCTCCTCCTGTGAGCAATTCACCCAAGCGATCCCCTCTCAGGCACTGAACAATGAACAGTAATTTCAAACGGTTATGCCTGAGCAGAAGCCCTTCACACATGGACACATATCAGGATGTAGAGCAAAGCCATTCCCTCTGGTACTAGTTTGCACAACTCACGTGCATTCATCTGCTTGTACATGGATAGGGGCATGAGACAAGGTCAGAGTGAAGACTGGGCAGACTCCAAGGCTGTGTGGTTGCTGGGAGGGTTGCAAAGCTCTGCAAAATAACCCTCAAGATAAAGCTAGCCATGACACATCATGTATTACTTTGACCCACTGTATCTTCTCCTGCAAAGAGCAGGATTTGGCCTCAATACAGCAAGGAAGCTGAAGTGGTAATAGGGTGCTTTGAGAAATCACATTGTGCCATTGCATGGTCCTGAGGATGCAATGAACGACTTACTCAATAGGCTAGTAAGACTGTGAAAAGACAAGATATCTGAACTTCTTCCACTAGAGCTTCATTACATGAATGCACACTTCTTCGGGATCGGAAAGATTTTTTTTCCTCCCCTGCACTCACTGGGTTCTCTGTGAATTGAGCATTACAGTGGCTTTGACTGTAACCATTATAATCATTTTCCAGTGCTAATGTTGTGGTTTTAATGAAAGGAAACAGCAAATGGTGTATCGACTCATATACACAAATCTGTACTTCATTTGCACAAAATAGCTTCTGGATGGCTTTCCTCCATGTTTTTGGTCAAAGCCACTCTTTTTGAGAAATGATCAATGTCTACAACTGTTTGCTCTTCCACAGATAAAGCAGATGCTATTCATTACTGCATTTGCCATGCATATATTACTACTTTCCCCAAAGCAGCCGCAGTGGGTCATGTGTTTATTTTTCTTTAAATCCTTTTGTTCTTAAATCACTCCACTTTTGCTTTCAGGATATGATGAATAATTAATGCTGTAGTAGCAGCATTATTGAATTAGGAAAGTCACTGGCAGCTTCCAAAATCATTGAGACAACCAACAAATAAACACAAGCCACTTCTTTAGACTTAGATGTAGTGAAGCAGTCCGATGGTGTTGAGATAAGAAGAGGCCAGGCTGACCTTTAAAGCTGTAGGACGGACTTACTGTTGCCCACATGTAAATCACAGTAGTTCTGATAGCAATGCAGATATTTTGAAAGATTCTCCAATAAATAATAATGCTAAGGAAAACTAAGACCGGGCATGGGTATTTAGAGGGAATTGTGTTCTACAAGAAGTTATATGATCATAAAGAAAAGAATTAATCATGATTTTATGGTTTAGGATTATTTAAAGAATAGAGATTTGGAGTTGATACCTTTCAGGTAGGTGTTCAGCACCTCCCAGGGATTACAGCCAGCAGCACGAGCAACAACTAACCAGGAAAGGAGGGAGATTATAGATTTCCAGAGTAACCATTTGCAGTTACCACTGGAATATCTGGTTTACAAGCAGAGTTAGCCTACTGGTAATACAAGAGAATGTAATATGGTAAGATTCCAGTTAAATGTGAGTTTGAGTCAAACAGGAAAGCAAGAATAAGTTCATTTTCCTACATTCATATACAGGAGGTTTCTACTGGCTTCCTAACAAGGCCCTTCAGGTTTTGATGCGACCCTGTCCCTCATGTATTTCATCACAGCACCTTGGTGGACAGCAGAGCCAGGGGTCAGGCAACCACTTGCACTACTGAACTTTTAAAACTCCTTTATGCAGAAATGAAGGACTGAAAAGACTGTGGGGTGGTGAGAAATAAACCCTAGCATCTCCAGCTGTCTCAGTTGGCAATCTGAAGGGCGGAACCTCTGTGGGTATGGCACTGCATGTTTATTGACAGCAGTCATAATTATGGCTTTCCTCATCTGGGGCTGTCCCTGAGCACACTGCAGGGATCCCTGATTCTTCTCCCTGTAGCTCTGTTTAGGATTTCTGTAGTTATCAAGAGACTCTTGTTAGTGACTTCTGTGTACTCCTGAAAATAAAGGGCCCCTTTACTGAGTGCTGTAGTGCTATAGACTTTCCTGGCCTTAAAATATTTTTTTTATTTTTCATTGACTTATTCCTTTTTGGGGCTGGATAGGAAAAATGGTTTCCCTGAAGAGAGAAAGATCTCACAGTTTCAAGATGGTCCCTGTTGCTGTTCTACTTTAGTACGCTATTAAGGCCTTTTAAATAGGGCCCTCTCTTAGTAGTCACAGGCTCTGTTGAAGAACTGTGTAAAAAATATTTCTAAAAAAAAAAAAAAGAATAGTAGTCCAGGATCAGCTCAGTGTGCTGGAGGAGAGTGGGGTGCTTTTACTCATTTCCCTGGCTGAAGCAGTTTCACTATATACAGGTAATGACATGTCAGTCTGGGAAGAGACCTGTGCTTCCATCGGCTCCTCCCAGCATGGTGATGTAATTCCTGGACTACCAGCTCAGGTTCTTTGATTCTCTTGCCTAATGATTGTCTTGGAATCTGTGCAAATTGGAGTATCTCCAACAGGAAAAGCTGTCATTTTGAAGGAGCCAGAAGCCCAGAACCCACTCCGGCTGTGGGGTGCTGATTTCCATGCTCCTGGGTCTGTTTAAGGAGATTATAATCCTACGTGTGGTCTGCTGTTTTGGATCTGAATATCCTACTCAGGGAGTTCTGGCTGCCCTGAGGCAGCACATGGAGGTCTCTGACCAGAAACTCATTGAACCCATGACCATCTTACCATTCAAAGTTCTGAGTTTGACAAATCAGCATTTTCTGATTTGAGGATTTTATTTCAGAAAACTTCTAGCCATCTGTGTTCCCTGTCCCCTTTACCTGTAGATTTTCAGCAGATTTCTCTATCTGCAAGTCTTCATTTTTCTAAGAAGTTTTCATTAAGCTCAGTTATGGAAAATTATTGGAGACTACTTCATCAGCCTTCCTACAGCATAGGCTCTGCCTTTGCTTTCACCATGCTTCTGGTCAGCTTGAAGCTATGCTCACCCAGGTGCAACTCTGGAGAGTTCTCTCTCTTCATCCCCCAGCACTGGTAGGAAACAAATTGCTAAAATCCTTGACAGAAGTTATACATGTGTTACGTCTCCTCAGCTGAACAGGTGTACCTAAGGTATTATGGGGAGAAATTGGAGGACCTTTTCATGGGATTAACTGTGGGCAGAGGGCAGGGACTATCATGGGTAGAGGGGAAGAATAGCCCTGGCCCCTTGAAAAACACAAAAGCCATAAAAGGATCAATCAAAATCTTTTCCCATAGCAGACCTATCCACCTTTCCTTTATTTCCTCCCCTCATGTGGAATAACTGGTATCTGGAAGCCTCCGCTCTTCCTGTGCTTGTGTCAAAAAGAGGGAGAGCAGGAGTCCTGCTAGAGCCAGCAGAATTCAACCACATTCACCCCCTCACTGCTCATGCTCACTGCTTTTGATGGTCCAGCTAAAGAAAATCTCTGCAGATGTTTTTTTGTCCTCAGAATGAAGCTTCCCACTGCTAGCCTTGGGAGACAGAACATCCTGGCTAGGCAAGAACTCTTTATGGATATTTCTAGTGCTCAGAGGGAGAAGGGGAAAAAAAACAAGCTACAGCAAGTTTATGGTAATTACTTTAATGAGGCAAAGCCCTTTAGAATGCAAACATACTCAACAATACACAAAGAAACAATCAAAAAAAAGTGTTTTATACAGGCTGTTTTATAAGGAGGTAATAAAAGCAATTGTATGGCACACTTGGTTGCATAAACAGGCTCACCATGGAAGGTGTTTGTGTGAGAGCAGGACTATGAATACTTAATTGCTTTCATTATTCTTATTTTCAGTATAAAATACTGCAATCAAAACTTAATCTGTGGCTTGATTTTTAAATAAAAAGGTTATATTCCAGTTCTATTGTTGTAAATATAATAAAATGTGGTCTTTCTGTTAAACATAGTCTTTCTCACTGCTTGTAAACACGTATAACAGTGATTAATATCTGCATCTCTGCCAATTTCAAAATGTTTTTCAAAGGCAGAATCACTATTTCTCTTCACATGGAAGGAAGAAGACCAAAATGTTCAAAAGGTCTTCTTCATTAATGATGTGACTAGAAGTCATGAAAACCTTTGGTGAGATCCTTCTATGGCTGCTAATCCTGTTTGAACCAAGCCCCAAAAGCAATGCAGATTTCAAATATATTCTCATTCACACATCTCTTCTGACAAACACAGTGAGTACAAAGAAAGAATGTAAGGAAACATGAATTTGAGGACCTCAATAAGTTGCAAAGTACAGAACTGAAAAAATGTCACCCATTTTCCCTTACCTCTCAGGAGAGTAAATTACTCAGACAAAAGGGTTGTATGAATTCGAATACAATATGGTGTGTCTGGAATGTTATATTCTGAATCTAGTGATTTTTTTTTTAAATATGTGCTGTTACATTTGTGCTTTAGTGGCATCTAGACCAAAGTAATTTTCAAATACTTAGACATAAGAATTCCTTTTTATTTCCTCTGACTTTTTGCTTCAGGAAGAAACACAGAACCGTCAAAGACCTGTTGTGCACATAAACTAAGTGATAGGTCTGGAAAGATTTAGGGAACAAGACTGTCTTATACAAGAAAATGAATATCTGGATGAAAAGGAAATATACGCATTAATGGTTTGTGCTTTAGAGGCTGAGCACATTGCTGTGAAATAACATACCAGAGTGACACCAGAAAGGCCAGAGTCACTCTCAGTGAAAATGGATGTTTCTAGGAAAGAAGTGATGATTTCTAGTTTCGAATTGATGGCAAAGGATGACTTTAAATTTGATATCTTAGTTTACCTATTTAATTAAAAAGAATCTTCTCCTAAAACATACAGAAAGAAATAGCATTTTTTTCAGTTCACTGGGCCTATAATAATTTTTATTCTTGAAATTGTCTGACCGTTGGACTTTCTGTTAGTGCTACAGAACATCTGCCAAATAGGAAATGTCATTTTTATTTTCACCTTTCTCATCATTACAGATAGCGTAATGCTGTCAGGAATCAAGAAGGTACCATTAAATATTTCCTGTTACATCACTAATGCCCAAAAACATTTCCCATGAAGCAAAAAAAAAAAAAAAAAAGGCAAGGCAGAAGCTCTCATTATCCCTATCCCAGGGAAAGTAATTTTAACACTTTCCATCTCACAGTAGAACTACTGCCCAGGAGAACAAAGGACACTTAACTAAGTTGGTGAATATTTTAAACCACCTAGGAATTGTATGAAGAATATAGGCTTTCCTATGACTGAACTCTGATCAGCTCCCATGGCTTATGGCAAAATCAGCCTTTCAGGCATTTATTTGCAGGGTGTTCAGGGGGCCAAGAATGTCCAAGGGGCCAATCAACTGCTGATCTTTCAGCAATGTATTCTTACCCTTTTCTTAGATGTCGAAACCAAATTGTTTGCTGACATCTCTCAGTCTTCAATAATTAAAGGCAGGACAACATATTGATGATGAGCACACGCACATGTATGTGGTTGCATATACAAGAAGGAATTTTACATATTTATAAGGAAAAATTAATTTTCAAATTGAATCAAAAATATACAGGAGAAACGTATATATATACATACATACATATATATATATACACGACTGAATGCTTAAACATATTTTAAGAATATATATATGTTTGTATGTATGCATTTCTGCAGGCCAAAACAGCTTTGATGAATTAAATAAACATCTTGATGTGTTGAACAGCTCCTTTTAAGCCAAGCAAATTATGGTTTCTAACCTTCTAGTATATGTGTCTGATTAATTTAGTCATGAAAAGAACCAGTTGCAAAACAAAGATTCTACATGTACCATGGTCCCATTGGACTCATTTCTCCTAGCAAACAACTTAATGATGGTACTCAAGACCAAACTTTTGCTTACAAAGTAAATGGGTTTGGATTAGCTATTGTGCAGAATGATCTAGCGCATTAATCTGAAATTTTCAGAAGGAATCTAGATCATGCTTTCCTCTTAGCATCCAATTCTTCAAGGATTAGAAAGCAAGTCCTCAACAAGAAATCCAAACACACCAAAACAATTTATAATACACTACAGAAGTAGAATTGAAAAGACAAGTCATTCGGTCTGATGAGGTAGATGGGTGTCTGGAAAAATGCTGAATGTCGTCTGCTATCAACAGCCTTCAAGATCAAGGAGACTAGCAGAGGTAGACTGAAAACTAGTCACAAGCTAACATCTGCTTAAAAGGACATGTGAAGAACAGCCAGGAATGAGCCATGAGAAACTTTCAAACCAGTCCCTCAAACTAATCAGAGAGGCTTAGTGAGATGCCACCATATGATTATCTGACTGATCCTAAATGCATTGACTATAAGATCATAAAGTAGAGTTTTGCCAGTGTATGTTTGTCATCACAGAAGAGTTGTCAAATTTCCCTCCCCAATCCCTTGACAGAGGTCCCGTGTTACAGAAATCAGGCTACAGTGAAGGTAGTCATAGATAAACCATGCGCTGCTCCTTTGACCCTCTCCTGCTTTGGTTTCCCCTTTTCTAATAGGAAACTCTCTGTACTGGGAGCTCAGCTGAGTTCATCCTCTGGCAGGATATCCACCTAAGCCACCTAATAATGGTCCATGATTACCTTGGAGAAGCCTCGTCTCTCCAGGCCAGTGAACACCTTCACAGTGATGCTTACCAGTGGCACCTTCCCCTGGCATGGCAGCTTGTCCCTGTGCTCTGGAGACAGTACTGAGAAAAATGCAAATGACTACCACGTGCAAGCATACTGATCAGGGTACTGACTGCAAGCAGCAGCCTGCAATGATGTTGCATTTTCATTAAGGGCCTCAAAATAGCAAGAATCAAAATAGAGATGCTAACACACTGAGCTTGGCTTGTTTTTCATTCCTGGTTATGTATGCTAGATAGTAGGTGAGATATCACTCTCTGGAGGTGAACCTGCAGTCAAACCAGGTTGCCTGATTTGGCTCTATGAGATGGAACACATTAGTGACTGTATCTCAATCACTCCTTACTGAGTCTGCACGCTGCTCAAACCCATAACAAAGGCTTTACAAAGCACCATGATCCAAGTCTTTGGATGGTGTAGATGGGCACAGTAGCTATGGCCAACTCCCATTTCCAACAGCTCTTCCTCTTTACCTCTGCTTCTGTCACAATTGCATTGGTAAAGTTGCTTACTGAAGAGAAAAATAAAAAACCCGTTTCCTTAGAAGAAATGCTGCCCAAGAGCAGTTTACATCATGTGCTATCTGGAAGCTATTCTGTGAAACATCGTAATAATTGCTTTTCCTGGACTGAGACACTTATTAGTAGCAGCTAAAGTTAACAGATTGGAAGATTGCCTGAAGATGATGGATGGGTTTTCTCAGATAGTAGATTTCTGGTCATTTTCCATGGCAGCTGTAAATTTAAAAATAATATAAAGTTAAGCAGTGGTAGAAAAGAATTAACAAATATTACACGGCTACTGACTTGATCATTAGTCATCCTAAATTGATGCTAAAATGTTACATATGATGAGCCAAACATTGCCCCCGGGGTGTATACAGAAGTTTCTCATTGATTACAAATGGGAAATGACACATGTATGTGAACACTAAATTTAGCCAACTGCTTATTTGGGATTTTTAATTACTGCTTGCGGGAGTTGGAGACATTTCTGTTTTAGGAATCCCCTTTCATACTAGTGATCTGGAAGAGAATTATCAAGAGCCATTATCTGATGTGTAGTCAATATCCTAAGTTGTTGCAACAATATCTCTACATATTTTTAAAGCTGAAGAGTATTAATTCTCTCCAGAGTTCAGGAGTCATTTGATCTACCTGATGATCAATTTTAAGGCTGCTGCAGTGAAAAAATTATTTCTTTTTGACCAGAACGAAGATTTTTGTCCACAACCAAAATTCCTTTTAAGCTAAAACATCATTTTTCATAGACTTTGTCCTAATTTACCCTGTTATTTTTGATGAAGTCACATCTTCTTCAGGTGAGTAACTAGAGAGGAGCTGCCAGAGACGTGAAAAAAAACTCAAACCAAAACAATCACATCTGACACAAATGAAGAAATCTTGCACTCAGAGATACCATAATGATTCCTCACCTCCTCTGCTGAATCTGAAGGACAGAAAACTTGAAACAGCCCCGACAAGCTCATGGACACACACAGACCTTTACCTTGTGAATGTCTAACTCCTCTCAGTTCCTTCTGCACTTACCTAACACTGTTATACTAATTGCTTAAGCATATTTATGCTATACATGTTGCTAGTATTCATATGTACTAGCTATAGGACATTACTTAGCCTTATATTTAATGTCTTTCAGACTTTAGGTATAAATACTCCATAGTAGTTGCACTGAAAACAACTTAACTTGAATGCCAACCACAGAATATTGTTAGCACCAGGTTTTCTCAGGGCCTATTTACTTCTGTTTATCCACAGGATTTGGTAATAAATACATGTATTTCAGGGCTTTAGGTACATTAAACATACTGAATAGTCAACGCTTGGAGAAGCTAATTTCCCTGTCATTGCATTATAGTTAAATTGGTTACGCACGTCTCATTCAATTATGCAACTTGGAGAATACCAACAACATAGGTTCCTGATTTCAATAGTATATATGCTGGTTTTAGCACTTACAATGGATCAGCTTTTAGCATGAGACACTAAACTCATCATACTTTGAATTCCGGAGTCCCAATTTCAAATGTAATACTGTCTTTGTGTGTGTGTCATTAATGGCTTTTCTTTTTATGCTTTCTGGATGTATACTATAATATTTAGTACAAATCAAAGTGAAGACGGGAAGGTAACTCACAATGGATATATGCAGTTAAGCATTTACACCAGCAGATTCTTTATTGATATGAGCTTAATCGAGTAGTTATTCAACCAGTAACATAATGTGCACGATAGTCAAATAAACTATTTGCTGTTAAATCCTGACGTAGAGAAAATGCCAGGTATACTATCAAGCCCCTGCAATGGGACTTCTTTAATGGTATTTGTTCTATGTGGAAGGCACTCTGGTACTACAGTAGTACAGAAGGAACAAGGATTCCTTGGAAGGGTTAGATTAATATTTACATGAACTGACATACTATTATGATTTTAGCATTTTGTAATAGCAATAAAACACATATCAAATCAATTAAAAACTGGTTGACAGATCTCAAAAAAATAGGCATCAGCTAGGATTTGTAATTGAATGAATGTTCCCAACGTTTCCTTGACTTCCGTACGAGGCTTCATATTCCTTAGCACCTTCACCAATGGTCTTGTAAACACGTCCCTAAACACAATCTCTGAATGACATGAGTTTGGCAGGATGGCATACAATGATGAAAACTGGACAATCAAACAGAACCAGGAATGGTACAGGAAAGAACCATAAAGTTATTCAAAGAAGAATTCCTTGCAGTGAACGAAAATCCAACAAAAATATAGAGAGTTCCATGTTGATTTTATCAGGAGGAAGATGGGAAGAGGTGAGTTGTACACATAAGAGATTCACAGCAGAGAAATACCAGGTAAGAAAGGACCCTTCCATCTAGCAGGAGAACCAAGGGCTGGAAACCTAAGCCACACAGACTGAAAGTAAATTGTCTTTCTAACAATAAAGATATTTATGAGTTGGAAAAATGTTTCCAGGGATGTACCAGATATATTTTATGATCTCTTAAGTCCAAGAGGAAGATATGCTTTAGCTAAAACCAGATTTTTTTTTTTATATAAGAATAACTGGAGACAGTGTAAAAATATATAAGCAGACAAATTGATCATATTCTATGAGTATGAATGTATGCAAATTTACCAGAGGCAACATTTTCTCATCTGCCTGTGGTATGTCTCATTAAGAAAATTGCTTGTTAAGAACTGTGTTCCGAGGAGGTGGATTGTCACTGTTTAATCTTACCTTAAGGGATATTATGAAATAAAAATTTTATCAAATATTTAGAAAGTGTCTAAAATACAACTTATCTTGCAAAACTGCAAGTTGCTAAACAGAGAGAAGCCCTTACTTGTTAGATACAAACCTAAGGTAGAATAGAGTGAAGAAATGGAATTTATCTCAGTTTAGCAAATATTAATAGAATAATCATGAAAATACTGCCAACCATATATGCTTTGAACTCCATATGTGCCTCAGTGGTTTTTTTTTAAATAATTAGGACCATAATATATCATCAGATACTTTCTGCTTCTATCAAATAACAATTAGTAACTGTTAGCATCCTCCCCTCTTCCATTTTGTAGCATGTTATATCTTCCAGAAGCCTGTTAGGCCAGTTACATCAGCAAAAACAGAGAGTAAATCCATTCAAAACAATGTGACTAAAAGCAGTTTGTCTTTGCATGGTTAGAACAAAAAGCTCCATTGCTGCTTTTACAGCTAAATAGCATTTTACAACAAGCTCTGAAACTTCTGGGGAAGTTGGATTACAATGTTGGTTTAACATCAGACACACCATTGTTTAGATGACGGATCACTGCGATGTCCGGTCTCTGAAAACTTTAGTTTTCCTTTTGATATTAAAAAGACCACTGAAGTAATCTACAGAGAGCTTGGGCCGCAGGAAAGAAGTCTGAAAAACAAACACTGTTAAAGATCGGTAAGACACAATTATGTGGCTGGCAATTACATGTGATAACAATTAAAATTATCTGATTCCAACCACATGGCATCTTAATACAGCAGATCTCCAAGCAAATAACGTGTCACATAATAGGTTTTGATTGATGTTGTCAGCAGCCTTCTGAACATTACAGATACCTTCTAGTCAATGCCAGAGAAATCAGTGGAGACAACTGACCTCATCCTAAACTGAAATTATTTGCTTGTACCTAAATACCCTAGCTCTAACTGCTTGGTAACTTAAAATTCTTTCTTTACTAGGTGATTAGATACTTGTATACATGGTGTCTGGCTGCTTACTTCCAGTCGTAAATAACTTAGCTAATACATGCATTTGTGGTTTTAATGAAAATCCTAGATGTTTTCTTAGTCATCGTTCAGCTACCTGCCAGTACATCTCTGGGAACATATGACAGATTACAAGCCAGACGAAGCACTCCAAACAATTGCTGAAGTCCATGTGTTGGTTGGCATAGGGCACCTAACCAGGGAGAATAAGGAGATGCCAAGGAGCTGCCACTGAACAACATGAGGTTGCTTTGCTGCCAACTTTAATTTGCGTTAAAAAAAATAAGGATGAGTCAATGATTGCTAAACCAACAAATCATCCTCCTATTGGAGGAGGCCCAGAGGACATTCTGTCTCCAGGGGTGATATATCCAGTAAGAAAACACATTGTCACATTGCCTAGAATGGGCATACAAAAAGCAGAGGGGATCGGAGCAGGAATTTGCAGTATTTTCATGGTGCCAGTCTCCACACATGTTCTCGGCTTAGCCTCCTGCTCCTTATTTTCCTCTAGACCAGCATGAGGGCACAGCCCGAAAGCTACTCTTCAGATCTGTGATGCAAGTTTTATTGTTTCCTTCTGTATACTGTTAAGTAGGAAGTGAAACATAATGTCTCAAAAATGAATTGAGGAATAATACCATACATTTGTTAGAAGGACAGTTTTTGCTACCATTGTTGTTTTAAAAAAACAACATTTTCTACTTTGGCATCTAAATCAGAATTTCAACATCACAGCTGGAAAAGCATTTGTCTTTTTTAACTAGGGCTTCCACAAACACAGCTCTCCCACTGTAGGCTATGGAGTCAACAGCTCATTGAGAATGAAGGCTCAGTTAAGATTTTGCAACAGTTTAGATGATGGTGTTGAAGGTGAGCAAAAAAACTTACATGTTATTCACATCAGTTTCACTGGTCTGACAAAGCATGGTGTCCAGCCACAATGAAAGATCCTGCCTGTGTTATAAATATGTGGGGGTTTTAACTAATTCATTGTAACTTCCCCATTCTTTATAACAGATCACATTAGGGATGAAGAAAAATATGAAGCAACAAAACTCATGAACAGACAATGCACTTATTCTTGACACCTCAGCCATAAATGTTTCTGTCCTGAGTTAACAGTTCCACAATGTATGCCACAGCTTTCCCTAAATGTCCTTTCCAGTAAGCTATAGTCATTTGGCTGCACAATGGATGTCACCTTACTTTGAAGGAAATATACTGGATTTCAAACAATAAGAAGAATTATCTAGATGTTCCATGTTAAATTGAATGACATATTTCACTCTGCAAGAAAAATTACATTTGTTGTAGTTATGCACCAAAACCGTTAGCACCACGGGAGATCAGGTTCCCCAGAACAGCAAAGCAGCAGCTTGTTGAAATACACCACACATATGAAAACTCTTCATATCCATACAGCTCTAAACTTTCAACACTAATCAGACAACCACATTCCTTGTCCTGAACTGCAGAGAACTCTCAAAAAAATAAGTCATGTGATACTTAGACTTTACAGAGACAAGATCTCAATGTTATGCAAGAACACATCAGACAAAATGACCAAGCCATAAAAAGAACCCTTAGCAGAGTGATCAATAGAGTATGTAAAGAAGTCAAATTATACAAAAACCTATGTAGCTATGCATCTGTAGAGATGCAGCCATAGTCAAATTCTCTGAAGAACTGGGTGAATAGTATGACAGAGCTAATGCATCTGATATATGTTTTCTACGATGTCCTACACTATACATTCAGAAGCTGCTTCACAAGTACAACATTTGTGCAGCTGAAGCATGAGTGGAGGTGATTAGCATGGGAGCAGGGCCTCTCATTTTCTTCATGCAGAGCCTAATACAAAAGGACTTTGATCTTTAGGGGGATCTCTACCACAGTGCAAAATAATGATGATGATAACACAACAATAATAATAGGTACAGATAGCAATCCTGAACCTTGAACATGTATCCATTATAAATACATAAATATTCAGTTGTCTACCATAAGAGCACAGGTCATAGACTCTTTAGCTTCATTTCTCTCCCACACATCCAAAAGTAGGCAGAAAAAATATTGAAATCTATTTATTAGTTGTTAAACAGTATCTTTTCAAATTGATGCGGCAGACATTTAGGAAATCAGGCTGCTAATACATTCCTAACAAATAATACAATACTAGAACCAAACAGAATATTTGGGCTGTGAAATAATCTACAGAAATAGCCAAAAACAGCAGACACTTTCTTTCAAAGCAATACAGGACAGGTTGTGAAAAATCCAAATTCCCTGCAGTGTTTTGGAAAAGTTAGCATCTACCTACAAATCAACTTGGAGCCTCAAATTATTAAATTATTATTCTATTAATTCTATATATGACTTTTTGGTTTGTGTGGGGGTTTTTTGGTTGGGGGGTTGTTTGTTTTTTCTGGGTGGTTTGGTTTGGTTGGTTGGTTGTTGTTTGTTTGTGGCTTTTCTAAATTAAAGGATAAATGACCAACCTATGGCCTCTGGGCCAGTTTCCAAAGGCCAGAATATCTTATCCAACCGACAGCCACATTTTGCTGTCCTGTTCTTCTCTGAGGCCCTCAATCACATGGAAAAGATGAATTGCAAGCTGCTAAATTGGCAAAAAGGTAGCCAGAATCTTGGTCTTAGCACTTCTTTTGCCCAAGGTCCTGTAGCCTCTACACTAGGAATTCCACCTGTCCTGACTTGGGCATGTCCCCACCACAGAGTGAATGGGTGATGTGAAAAGCCCTGTGATAAAAGTATGAATGAATTTCAGCCTTGATACAGGCACTACTTGAAACTCCCCATCTATTGCCAAAATAAGCATTTTCTGAAGAAAGCAGTTGCATTTCAGTTTTCAAATGGATATGCCTCTCATTGAGTCAGAGGTTAGAGCACGTGCTTCTCCCAAACCAAAAGGCTGAGATTGACACAAGGAGTGCAAAGTTCATATTTATGGAGTAAACAAAACTTGTATTTGTTGCCAGATATAATGTACCAGAACTTGGCTTTGGACATACATGTCAACAGTCTAGCGTTTTCCCAAAGTTGTATGTAGTGCATTTCTGTCACAGTGGTTCATCCACAACATCCATATTTCAGATGCATGCAGAAAAAGAGCATCCCTGCCCCAGGAAATAACACTCCAAGAACAGAGGAGCTAAAAAAGACCCAGAGAGTAAAACATTCAGGAGGTCATCAACAGTAAGATTTTCTGCAGACATGATAGCAAGAGAATGGGTAGATTGAATGTGGACAAGGTAGTGGCCTGGTGAAAGAAATCAGGGATGCTGAATAATACCCGTGGAGCTGCATGGAAGAAGCCAAGTATCTCTGTTATTTTCTGGTCAAAAGGAATCGACTGAACTCCAAACTGACTGAAAAGTGATGAGCTAGTGCTTCAGAGAGGGGTTGAAAACAGGGAGGTGGGGCTGCTGGCATAGTTTTGCTTGGCATGGTTTCATTGTTCACAAAAATTAGCAGAAAAAACAATATTCCAAAACTCTTTTCGGGCAGTTATTGATTAGTTTTCTCCCTTGGATTACAACACACATCAACGTCAACAACCCTTTTGGCTATGTTGGTCTAGAGCCCTGTTCAGGCTTTCCATGGGGAGTTCCTAAGGAGCTGTCCCACTCGATGCATGTTGAAAGCCTCTCCCCTTGGAAACGCATTTGGGCTGGTGCCTTGAAGGGACATTTGAAACCTGCCCATGCTGCTTTGGTTTTTTTCCTGTTCTTGTTGTCAGGCTCATCATGCTGAGTCATATCTGCAGCTAGATCATAATTTTTATCCTGAAATGTCAGCAGCTGCTCTTTTCAGCCCCATATGGTGCCAGATTTAGGATGAGGTTTCCCTAATGCATAAACAATGACTATAATTGTGGTTTTTCACAACCAAGGTATCACAGAGATGTTATTCTTTTATAAAACCCCCTGCATTTCCACAGTTGTAATAAGGGGGTGGGTCATAATGACCCATATATTTTTTTGTACTTCTCCCAAAAGAAAGTCTATGACATAAGTGAATCCCTATCAGTATAGCTTTTGGCCATCAGATGTTGTTTGAAAAGGGAAAAATCGAAAAGCTTTAGCAGCTAATAGTTTCATAACTGTAAGAGCATTATTTGCCTATTCCAGAGATGGTTGTTTGATAGAAAAAACCTGTCTTTAATCTCTATTCTCTTAATTTAGATGCAATTTCATTGAGGTCCTCAGATAGCCTTCTTCCCTAGTAGTGCTTGAAATTACAGGCTCTCTTTAAATGTCAACTAAAAAAAGCTGAGGAGTCAGAGAAATAAAAAACAGAACAAACAAACAAAAACCCTAGCAGGACTTGACAATAAGTCATGCAAATCTATATTTCATCTTTCATTTATAGATATACTTCAAAAGTATTTTCACTATCTATTATCTGTGGAGATAGAAGATAATAGAACAGTGTCAGTGAGAGGGCCACTGCAGCCAGATCCAGCACCTCCATTCTGTATTTTAATGCCAAATAAAGCAATACACAGATAAATGAAAGATAAGCAAGTAGAAAATCCTGTAAGGGCAAACACAGGGTGAATATGATGTACTATTTTTGAAGACTGGGAGAAGAGGCATTGAAGCTGGTGGAAGTAACCACCACCCTTCATCTGAGATAACAGAGCCAAGTAGTTCTTTGATGAGGTAATACAGGTTTCTGAGACAAGGCAAAAGTACACCCTAAATCTTGAATAATGTAGGCAGGTGGTACTGATGGTTATTGCTTTGGGTAAGGGTGTATTTGTGTGCATGTATGTATAAAACAAGGTAGCTGAAACAGAAAGAGAAATAAGCTCTAAACACAGCAGTAAAAGGAAGCAATCTGGGCATAAATGCCTAAAGGGAGAACTTACTGGGGGTACTGAACAAAAAAAAAAGTCATGCTGTAAGCAGAGATACTGTCTTTGTGGTTTGATTGCATCTGCAGGCAGAGAAAAGGGAGTTGGCATGCTCTTTGCAAATAGGTGGAACTGAAACCAAGAAAGAGCCTGCCTCCATCAGTGGTTTAGCTTCCTAACCAGAACAAGCTATGATGTGTGGCCATCTGTATCAAAGGAAGGAATATTATAGATAACAAAGCAGACTAAAGGGAAGACTACAGACAAATGTATCCTGTCCTGAGAAAGCTAAGGATGTTATAATGAATTAAATCTTCCTGTAATGAATTAAATTCATTACATTGTAATGACTCAAAAGCCACATGTACAGAAATCATTGCAAATGCAAAATGCTGTAGCAGATAGAAACACTGACACTATCTATTTTTAACTAAAAGAAACTCCCCTGAAGCTTAAACCAGCCCTCAAAAACTAGCCTGAGAACACACTATTGCTCTGCAGGACAAGAGGTTCAGGTTCAATGAGATGAAAATGGAAGGTGAGTTCCAGAGCAATATTCTTCTGTGAGAACAAAGTCCCTCCAGGCTCACTATGTAGGTGCTTAGGCCTCATTCTCCAAGCTGGCTTAGACAGCTAAGCCCTAATTAGGTGCTTAGGGTTCCATTTGCTCCTTCCCCTGAAATAATCAGTGAGACTAGATGTTATGTAGCAAATGGTACATAAAATGGCAGAAAGGGGTCTACCTATTTTACTGTTTTCAGCCTTGCCTGCACAAGCAGGCACTCAGCAATAGGACAAGGGGGCACGGGCTTAAGCTCCGCCAGGGGAAATTTAAGTTGGATATCAGGAGAAAATTCTTTACAGAGAGAGTAATCAGGCATTGGAATGGGCTGCCCAGAGAGGTGGTGGATTCACCATCCCTGGAGATTTTTAAACGCAGATTGGACGTGGCACTGAGTGCCATGATCTAGTAAATGGACTGGATTTGGACCGAGGGTTGGACTCGATGATCTCGGAGGTCTTTTCCAACCCAATCGATTCTATGATTCTATGATTCTATGATTCTATGATTCTATGATAAGCCTTTCTGCTGAAGCCACCAGATGAGATGAAAACCAGTTGGAGAGACGAACACAGAAAGGAACTCCGCAGTAACCTGAAGTGTACCTGTTCTACTCTCCCCGTAGCACCAAGCAGTACACATCACCTTCCTGAAGAGCAGGTAACTTGGATCTCTAGTGCTAAAACCATACTGCGCTTCCATAGCTGTAAGTGAAAACAAAATTTTTCTGACTGGAGGCCATTCTGCCTATGTACAGAAGAAAGCCTGTAGGACAACAAACATCCAGTCACCGTTGGTTTTTTATACACAACTTTACATTCTCTGTTGCTGTTCTCTGAGCATTGTTTCATCCACTCGGATGATACTCACCTCCTTAGATTTAGCTGTCTAAGAAATTGGAATCTAGAATAACTCAGTTGTCTATGCTTCCTTTATAATTACAGAGGTAAATGTTCACTCCCAGAAACATGTCACCACACTCTAACAGAATAATCAAAGTTTGATATCTATGAAAAATAGTACAGCCTGTCTTTCTCTATTAACTGAAGTGGGAGCCTAGACACTTAGTCGATCTGGATACACTACTTTGGGACAGTAGCAGACAAGTAACACAATCACTAGTTCTTCTGTACTCTGCCATGACACACTGCCAAATTTTTCTCTATGGTTACTCATGTAACCTTTCTTGTGTGTGACAAAAAAAAAGACTGGCAAATGGAGTGAGTTTATGAGCATAGGAGATCTGACAAGTGCTCTCAGAGAAGAGAGCCACTAGACAGGCTGCTTGCATGGGTGTCTCACCTGATGAACAAACCTCACATAGCTTCTTTCCATGAAGGAGCACTGCTTGTCATTCAGTATTCCTCCCTCACAAAAAGTTGTGTGTGGTGGGAAAAAACAAGAGCACTTTTGTTGTCTCAAAAAGGTGTGACTTGTTTAGGTTAGATTTGAGTGCCAGGGTTGTCTGAATGAGGACCAGTAAGAAATGAGAGCATTTTGATCTGTTGGACACTCTGTAAGTGGTAATAGGCAGTTGTTTTATTGTTCCTCCAGCGTAATGTACAAGGATGATTTGTAATGAGGCAGAATCTAGGATAAATATCTCTTGCTGTAATACTTTGCCTTCAGATATCTTAAGAAGTAATCTGCGGTGGGTATGTTTGCTGTAAATCAGAGGCTATGTCTTTGCATTTGGAAGTCACTATTATTATGTTAAAGGGTGTATCCTTTCACAGTTCAAGTATGGCATTTGGAAAGAAGTAATTTCACCTCAGAGTGGAAGCTTCCCTGGGGCACAAATCTTCAGCACTGAAATTTTCTATGTGTACTTTGACAAACGCATGCCCAGTGGGCATGTGCCAAATTATGCCTTTGAAGCCATGGAAGCCTTGCTGTGGGAACCTAGAACTTTGAAGAATTTCTCAAGGGAGAGGAAGCAAAGCCAGCTGGACTCATTTTCTATAGACAAAAATTTAATTGCTAGCTAGCAGCTACTACATTAGAAAGAAATCATTTCAGAGACCTGAACATGGTGGTGTGAGCCCTTGTTAGAGGAATTGGGAGGCAGCCTGACTGTAACCCACCCAGATCCCTCTCTTTGCACATTCTTTTTAACTTCAGTATTTACTGTCATGGTAAAATGTGAGCATAATTATAAGAACCAACACATCATCATTATTACTCAGCACCTAAGAACAAACTGTAAATACTCTGCCTTTGAGTGCAAACAAGCCAAGCAAAGGACAACTTCTTTAGAGCTAATACATATCAATTCAACAGACTTACAGACATGAAATTAACTCGATACAGTAAAATTTATGTACAGCTTCTTCTGCAAGAAATGGTTTATTATCAGAACCCAGGGGCTGGATTTCATGTTCCTCATTCTCTGAGACATAACCTTGTAGCCCCTGAGAGGCAAGCTCCTCTTTATCACAGCAGATACCTGTCCTGCCCCATGAGCTCTTTTCTGACTTCATCCTTCTTCAGTGCTCTGAAGTAGGTCCTATGTCATCCTTAACTCACACAAAGACACGTGTTATTTTGCCTGATTACCAAAAGAGATAGAAAAGTGCTCTAAAATATTGCTCTAAGAATAGGAAGTGTGTGTGTGTGGTGTGAAATGGTAATTCACATGTTACTGTACTATTAAGATAATGTCTCTCTATTGAAATAATTATGTTATAAATAAAGCACTTCAGATAATAATTAAAAATCTTACTGAGGGAAATTGCCCAGTGAAAGAAGGCTCAGGATATACCTTTATCACTACTTGGAGGTTAGAGCTAATTGGCAGACAACAAAGCTTACAAATTCAGAGGTTGATTGGTGTTGTTCTGTCTGCTTTTCTCCACTGACAGGTGAGCACACCTCTCCCTCTGTTACTCTTGTGATTTATTTTTACTTGCATGCAGACCTCCAATAAGATCAGTCTGTCATCATGTTGGACTCTGCACCAACATATAGTGAGAACATTTCCACTACACAGTTTGCAATCTGGACAGAGAAAGGAGAAGAGGGAGGTAAAGGTTTCTCCCTTCTTACATGGGGAACAAATACTCTGATCCACAGATACATTTAGGTGCTTTGCTGATTTGGATCTAGTAGGTCAGACTCACAGTGACATTAAAATATCTTCAAGCACCAGCTGCTCTACTCTCTCCATGCACATCCTCCTACTTCAGAATAAGAGCAAAGTAACCAGACCTGTTTCACTACAGTTTAAATCAGCACCGCCACTGTATGCCCAACATTGCTACCAAAAAACCTATTCCTGCAATGACCTGCACTGGGGAACTGGTGAAGATTAAAAGCAGTGCAGAAAAAAAAAAAACAAAGCAAAACAAACCAAAACCCTCACATATATTAAACCAGATTAGCTGCCTTCTCAGGGATTCAATCTCATGGCAGCAGAGCTGGTTGCACTGGCTTAATTTGCTCACATAACTACACTTTGGGTCACATCAGCCTGTTTGCCCTGGGTAAGAGTGCACACAAGGACAGTCACTGCTGTTCAACTGAGACACAATAGCTTGTTAAATTGTCATAAACTGATCATAAGTCTGAGTCCCAAATGTCTTACCCGAGGTCACCCAGCAGTTTGAGACACACCCAGAGACAGAACAACATCTCCGGAGTCCAGCCTAGTGTCAAACACAACGGCACTTTTCCTCTCTAATTGCAACCAATTGTCACTGTCTTCTGGTGGGTGTAACCAGGAGAAAATGGACATGGGAATGAGCTGGGACTGTCCAGTGAGCCCTTCCAGTTTTGGCTGAGGCATATTGGCAAGACTTCGTCAGAAGAACTCCATGGTTTTGCAAGGTCCTGTTTCTCCATATGCAACAAGTGATAAGATATTGTTGAGTAACTCCGAGAAAAGTTCTTGTAATACATGTAGGTGTTGCTGCCAGACAACATGTTTCAGGGAGAGTGGGCAATAGCTGCAGAAATGAAAAACATTTTTGACCCTAGAGAAGCTTGTTCAATTCAATGCCTTTCCTATGCACCAGAGCGGTGGAGTGTTACAGTTGGTGCTACACAGTGCATAATTTATTAGCACTATATTGACCTGAAGAACAACTAACACAGGAGATGTAAAATAAAATAGTGGGGCAGAGGGACCCAGTTTCGGAGGAATGCTGCTTTCCACAAGGCATGTAAACCCTAATTAATAGACAAAGACTCTATTCTTTGCCTGTGTTTAACTCCTCCCCTCTTGCTTCTCTTCCCTTTAACTGTACTCCTTTTTCCCCCTCCAGTTTGCAGTAGCATATACAGGGCCTGACAAAAGCTCAAACAAATAAATGGCAACACTCCCATTGACTTCAATGGGCTTTGTAACAAGCAAAGACAGAAGAAAATAGGTGATTATTTTTTCCTTTTCAAATGGCAAGTCCCCTTCCCCCTCTCCGGTAAAACAATCCATATAGTTGCCATAAGTGCTTTATATATGCAGTGCAATAGGCATAATTAATCAAACCCGCTAAACCACTATCAGCAGTTGGTCTCTCTCATGCTTGGAAAATTATTTTAAATAGACTTCACCTCCACAAAATAGGACTTTTTTAGGTTGTAAATACCTGGGGTCAGATAGCAGCAGTTGTTAGCAGCATATCTACACTGACTTCAAAAAGTGTAGTCAATTCATACACATAGAAGAACTGGCCCAAACCAGCAATTGCAGAACAGTCAAAATCATTTTGTTATACATGAGCTGTTCTTTCAAAGCCATAAATACAGGGTCAACCCTGCTGTTGCCCTTCAGCCAATTATCTAGACATGACCTTGATTAATGACTCACCTGGCTCTTCTTTGAATGCAAGCAGACAAATCTCTATCTTCCATACTCTACAACCAAGCATGAAAAAAATCCTCCATCTCTTCCTCTTGATTCACTGAACTGAGGACTTTACTTGTAAGAGTAGAAATCCCAGGTATATTTAAAAAGTTGTTTGTTTTTTTTCCCCTCATCACTGCCTGCAAGTTGGTCTGCTTAACAAAGGGCTATGATACCGGGCAGGGGAGAGGAGAGGGAATCCATTGCTAATTTAGTGTTCTAGCATGCTCTGAATATCTGAAATATCTTTATTCTGAAAAGCTGCAAATTTGTTTGGCAACAACTGGACAAAAATGATCCAACTGTATTGAAGTTCAGGTCATATGCAAATGCTCTTATTCAAAATGGTGTACAGAATACTGTCTTTCTAATCCTACCACTAAAATATGATTTGTGGCTGTTCTTCAGAACGTCTGCC